AAAAAAAATGTTATTTTGGTCTAGTTTGCATGCATTCAATTTTTATTTGCATGCATTCAATGCATGTGCGATTGACTTTTTTAAATTCTAAAAGAAGAAAAAAGTCATGCGCATACACATGATGCATGTATATTTGTTTTGCATGTGTTTTATACACTGTAAATCAATGTAAATGTGTGAAAAAAAGGTTGAAACCAGTTTTGGAAAGAAACGCTAAAACCACACAACTCTTGTTATTTTTGTTGAAGTGTAAACAATAATATTTTTTATCATCATTGAAAATGAGCAATTTTGTACCAAATAAAGAGTTTTTGCATGGAATTTTACTTCATAAAGAGTCTTCAATCGTATTTTAGTAGAAGTTTATGGTGATCATGCTCTAGCTGAGCGAACGTGTCAGAAGTGGTTTAAAAGAGGTAATTTTGTCTTTGAAGATGAAGAGCAAGCTGGAACGTAAAGAAAGTTTGGAGATGAAGAGTTGGAGACATTAGTCAATGGAGATTCATCGCAAACGCAAGAAGAAGTTGTTAATACACACCAAATTTTTTAAAAAGAATATATGCTACCGGCTAGAATTTGGGTACCAGCACCGGTACCATCACCAAAAAAAGTGTTTTTGCGTAGAGTTTTACTTCATTACTTTAATATGAAGAAAAACGCTCCTGAAAGTAATCGTATTTTATTAGATGTTTATGGTGATCAAGCTCTAGCTGAGCGAACATGTTATAAGTGGTTTGGACAGTTTAAAAGTGGAAATTTTGACTTGGAAGATAAAAAGCAGGTTGGACCACCAATAAAGTTTGAAGATGGAGAATTGAAGACATTAATCAATGAAGATTCATCAAAAACGCAAGAAGAACTTGCAAATACACCAGGAGTTACTCACCAAACAATTTCACATCGTTTAAAGGCAATGGGAATGATTCAAAAGGTGGGAAATCGGGTACCATCGTTAACATCAACAACCACAATAAAAAGTGGTAAAAGTGAAAATTAAATCTTCACATGTGAGAAGGAATGTAAATGAGTAAGTTTTTTGAATATGTGTGTGCGTAAATTTTTTTTCTTTTCTAATGTTAAAAAATAAATAAAAACAAAAATTGTGAATGAAAATGTTTGACTATGCATCTCCTTCACACAGCTACTGTATTTTCGTTTGTAATAAAATTATTTTACATTTTTTTTTTATTCCAATGTCTTTGCTTCATGTTTTTTATTCTTACTTTAAGTATAGATAGGTGTGCGGCCACAATTTCTATTTATTTTTGTAGGGGAGAAATTATCACCGTAGAAATTATAATAGATAATAAAAAGGAATATAAATATACAATTACACATGCAAAATGGTGAAAAATAAACAGAATTCGTTTCAAACATTCTTATTTCTTGCGTTGAAATTTCAGTTTATAAATATCGCCAAAAGAACCACCAGAATAAAGTTCGTTTCTTTCCATTAGTATCTGTTTCCATTGGTTGCCAAAAATTTGGGTCAAAACATTGTTTTCATGTTGCGTACTAAATTGTATTATAATTAATTCCAACTCAGATAATTCGCTGAGCAGAATTTGACAATTTTTTATAAAAATTTTGCTACGTATCTTTAGTATTTTCAAATTTTTCATATGTAACGTCAAGTTCATCCAAGATACATCGCTGCTGTCCTGAATAGGGCTAAAAGACAATCTTTTGAAATCATTGAACACAAATGATCCATAAAATTTTTCAGGTGAAGAACCACTACATGAAAATGTATCAATTGTTTTGAACCGAGAAAATGGAATTCGATCTCTTTTTGATTTATAGTTTGCTTGTATTTTCAAAGTTTTCAATTCTGGTAAAATTTCATTCAACGATGGAATAATTAAATCGAAGGAATCATCTGATGGAAATGCTAACCACAATTTTTTGATTTGACGATTCATATGTAAAAAAGAAATGAATGAATCAACATCTTTTCTACTCTTCAAAGTTGTTCTGAATTCATCCATATGTGGAAAACATTTTCTTTCTAATGTTATTGGAATACATGATAAAAACAGATAGTTGAGATTCGGCATGTATTCTATTGCATCAAAACTCACATCTCTAGTGTGTCCAATGAATTTTTTAAGTTTTGTTAATGGCTTATTTAATGGCAAAAATGGAAATGCAAAAAATTCTAATACTTCCAATGAATCTGCACAATACTCTAAAATGTATTCGATAACGTACTTGTAGGAGCTCGGTGTATTTCTTTCATGCCATCTACTTGAATAATTATCAGAATGAACATAAATATATTTGATGGATTCACCGAAATTACGAATCAATTTAAACCACACTTTTGCATCATTAATTCTAATTATTGGTTTGATTTTACAAAAAAAACTTATAGAGACTGTATCCAAATGAAATTGTAAAGCATCAATACATATCAAACGATGTGCGTGTTTTCGAGAATATATTGATTTAGCAATAGTTTGCAGGCGTTTACTGACATCGGAAATATTTGCCAAATCTGCTAATTCCAAGTAGGATAAAATCATTTCAATAGCATAGTCACACATATCGTCGAATTTTTTTGGTATTTTATGCGAACTGGAATTTTCATGTTTCATTTTACGTTTCAATTCAGACTGAGGTCGTCTGTTAACGCCGTTTGTCTAGATACAATAGAAGAAATAAATTTGAGAACATTATTTTCAAAAGTAGCGACTAAATAAATAACACAATAAATTTACCACAAGTTCATCGTTTTCAGCGAAAGAAAGATTTTTTTTGGTAATCGCTTTGCGTAGCATACCAAATGATTTAATATCGTCCTATGTTTTTGTCAGTGATTAAAATACTTGCCACTTTATTGTCAATATTTCTAATGCCATCAAGTGAGAAAGAAAATGAAAAAATAGAAAAAAGTACAAATTAAAGTTATTTACTTTACAGCGTTGCAATATAACACCATATTTCATCGAATAAAACTCCAAATATTTTATTTTAAGTCTGCAAAAAAATTGTATGAAATAATCCCACTGACTTTATTGGTGTCTGACAGCTAACTAACTACTATACATTATACTAGTTCCTGCGTCATGTTCCCCTGTGAGAGTGTCACACATACACTCATAAAAAAAACTACGAATGGTATCAGTGCTGCTATTCATAAAAAATACATATGCATATTTCAAATGGGATCTAAATATCATTATTTGAAACTGATGAAAATATTGCATTGAAGAAGTAAATTGTCTGCATTAAATACAGACGATAACATGAGAATTAAACGCACGCACCGCTGTCAACCAACTTCAAAGCGAACAAACATAGTATACCTGTATTGTCATTGCAATATGTTGTGAGCCGGCTGTTTTGTTTTCGCAAAAATTACGAAAATGGATGAAGAAAACGAAAAGGAAATTCAACTGAATGTTGTAAGCAATGTTTATCAATTAATAATATTGAATTTCATATTTTATTTCACTAATATTTTGTGGTTACTAATTTTTTTTCAAAACAAATTTTTTTCATCTTCAGAGCATAATAGAAATGCCGAACAACCCGACTCCAATAGATGTTGGTGAAGCAATGCTATTGATTGAACAACACAAGAGTGATAATGCTTCGGAATCAAACAGTGCGTCATCACATTCCGGTGAAACGGATTTGGCAGATGAAGAGGTACTTGAATTCATATGTAAAACAAACCATTCTAATGAAATATTTTCGAACTGATTTATATACATTTTATGTCTTTTTAGGATTATATCACCAAAAATAAGCAAGAAATTTGGCATGATTTAAGAAATGATGACGGTAATGTTGCAATTCGAGAACTTATGCGTTTAACTGGCTATAGTCCAAACACTTGTCGGGACATATACGAAAATAGATCCATTTTATTGGAGCAAACAGATGATATTTCGTTCGTGAAAGAAATAATCGCGATTGCCAAACGAAAATTAGACTATGAACAAAAACCATCACCAAACGTCAAGGATTCCAAAGAATTAGATAAATAATAAATGTGAATCAAAATAGAATTTGTGCAAAAAATTGACAGTTTTACTGTCTTTTGTTCAAAATAAAACAATTCAAAATACTTTTCCACAATGAAAACTGTTTTCCTTCTTTGGTGTCTTTCGTTCAACGTGGAAATGTCGACTAAATGACCGATTTTTTGTAATTCATTCTTAGAAGTTGGCATAATTGTATCAATGTTCGGTTTTATTGATTGCAATTCATATCATGCGAGCACAAAATATTTTGTTTATTCGGTGCTAAATTTACTATTAATCGTTCGAGTGGAGTTTTGCTGCATGTATCGAACACGAATCAAAAATAAACAACACTGTGTTGTCAACACATAACTGTATTCGACAGAGCAAAAATGCTTGGTGTTTATTTGACAACATCACTTCACTGTTGGCATGGGATCAGTTTAAAAAAGAGAAAGAGAGAGATTTTCCATCGGTTCAGTTTGTATCAATTGACAGATCATCAGCATTGATTTGAATATGATCTAACGCATCTTACTTTAAAAGAGGCGAATGCGTATTACAACAGAGCAACGCGTCACAATCATGCCAAAAGACATCCAATTGGCCTGCGTATCCGTGGCGAAGACGTCGTAAGACCTAGTTTGGTTTTCACAGTAGATCCAAAAATGATTTTCTAAGTATAAAACACACAAAAAACGTCATTCATTTTGTTTCCCCAGATTTGAATTGAATTGGGAGTGATCTATCACCTGTGCAAAAGTCAAGTGACACCAATAAGCCCAAATTCAATTTATTTCACCGCCAAATACTGGCTGAATTTAGGAATTGTACATTCATTTGGTTAGTTTACAAATGATTCGGCTGTAAATGATTTTGATGCGAGACGTCATAAGAGGAACTAACATTGGGAGTTTGCCTTCTTAAATTATATTCAATAATCTTTTCTATTAAATGAAATTTGATTTATTATTCATGCAATTTCTATACAAAATCAGTTACATTACTTTTTATTTTGCTTTAATTGATAATTCTGATCGCCAATATTATTCTTGAAATCGGTTTCGCTCTTATATTTCGAATCAACAATAGCTTTCAATATGATTAATGGATTTGGATGACTTATTTGCCGGCTGCGATTTGTTTCATACGGTTGAGAGCACTTCCAGCTTTGAACCATGTGATTTGTTGGTCATTGAGTGTGTGGTTTAATTTGATTTTGTCTACGGATCCATCGGCGTGTTTGATTTCACAGTCGACTGATTTACCTGGAGCCAAGTTAGACAATCCAAGAAGCGAAATTTTGTCGGTTGGTTGAATCTAAAATTACAAAATCGAAATAAAGTTAAAAGCCGTTCGAAGCGTAATTTAAATCAAATCTCACCTTATCATAGTCTGATGGATTGGCGAATGTAAGTGGCAAAAGACCTTGTTTCTTCAAGTTAGTTTCGTGGATACGGGCAAATGATTTGACAATGATAGCACGACCACCGAGATGACGTGGCTCAAGAGCAGCGTGCTCGCGAGATGAACCTTCTCCGTAGTTTTCGTCACCAACAGCAACCCATTGGACACCGTTGGCTTTATAATGACGGGCAACATCTGGAACACCAGCCCAATCGCCGGTCAATTGATTCTTAATTTTGTTCACTTCGCTATTCTCTGAGTTAACAGCACTGTCACAAAAAAAGAAATTCAAATTCAGTCATATATGAATTTAACGCTAACATGTGAATCAAGGTGAATATTTACCCAATGAACATGTTATTTGAAATGTTGTCCAAGTGACCACGATATTTAAGCCATGGGCCAGCAGCTGAGATGTGATCAGTTGTACATTTTCCCTTGACTTTGATCAAAACGGTTAAGTCGGTCAGGTCCTTGCCATTCCAAGCGTCGAATGGTTCCAACAATTGCAAACGTTGGCTCTTTGGATCAACATCTAGTTTAACGGAAGAGCCGTCCTGTAAACGTATAGAATTGAATCAACTTTTATATAGGTCATGATTTCCTTATTACAATTTACATGGAGTTTTTAATCAAATATATGTTGTATTGCTGATGAAAATTACCTCACGTGGTGCGGCATATGTGTCACTGCCTGGGTCAAAGCCTTTGCTTGGCAATTCATCAGCGAATGGTGGTTCAAGTTTGAATTCTTTGCCATCTGCACCCTTGAGGGAGTCAGTCAAAGGGTTGAAATCGAGACGACCGGCGATCGACAATGCAGTCACCATTTCAGGGCTGTCACCATTTTATTTAAATAATCAAATTTTTTGATTTTGTAGACATTTTTTTTTTTTCAAATTGAAATAATTCTTCTCAAACCTTGTGACGAAACAATGTGTGGCTGGATTTGCGTCATTACGTCCGGTAAAGTTTCGATTGTATGATGTAACGATTGTGTTCTTCTCACCCTTTTTCACATCTTTACGATCCCACTGTCCAATGCATGGACCGCAAGCATTAGCCAATACCTATGAAAAATCGAAAGTAAATTCTTATTCGTTGACTAAAAATATCTTGAAATGAATTTCTAATACTTACAGTAGCTCCAAACTCTCTGAATGTTTCAGCAATTCCATCTCGTTCGATTGTAGCACGAATTTGCTCAGATCCTGGTGTGACGTTGAACGGAATCTTTGATTTAACTCCGTGGTTCATAGCATTCTTTGCAATTGAAGCACATCTACCCATGTCTTCGTAAGATGAGTTTGTGCATGAACCAATCAAACCAACACGAATGTCTAATGGATATCCGTTTTTCTTTGAATTTTCGCCGAGTTTTGTGATTGGATGAGCAAGATCTGGAGTGAATGGACCGTTAACATGTGGTTCGAGTTTATCCAAATCAATATCGATGACTTGATCGTATTCAGCACCGCTATCAGCTGATAAAAGTTTTGCTTGGTATTTTGCAGCTTCAGCGGCAATATCACCTCTACCAGTTGATTTCAAATAGTCAGACATACGGCCTTTGAATGGGAAGGTTGATGTGGTAGCACCGATCTCAGCACCCATGTTACAGATTGTTGCCATACCGGTACATGAAATTGAGTCAACACCCTTTCCATAGTATTCTACAATAGCACCCGTACCACCTTTTACAGTCAAAATATCGGCCACCTTAAGGATAACATCTTTTGGTGATGTTCATCCGCTAATCTTTCCACTCAAATGTACACCGATCACTTTTGGGCATTTAAGTTCCCATGGAATATTGGCCATAACATCAACAGCATCAGCACCACCAACACCAATGCACAAGCCACCCAATCCTCCACCGTTTGGTGTGTGCGAGTCTGTACCAATCATCAACAATCCCGGGAAGGCGTAATTCTCCAAAATGATCTGATGGATGATACCAGATCCGGGCTTCCAGAAACCTAAAAAAGTTGTTAAAATCGAAATCATTCTCTTAAATAAAAACAAATATAGTCATTTAGATAGACGGTTTACTTACCGACGCCATACTTTTGACCAGCTGTCGTGCGACAACAATAGGATTCATAATATTTGATATGTACTATTTATGG